CTTATGATATTTTTTAGAATCTTATTAGAAGATTCTGCTTGTCTGTTGGATTGAGCGTAATATGGTGTGGAGTTTACTAATTTAACTCCAAACTCGCTTAAGAATTTATTCACTTGATCCCCATTCAAAGATGTTCCGTGATCTACCATCAAAGTTTGTGGAATTCCAAATCTATAAATGATGTGATCACGGATAAATTCTATAACATTCTTTTAGGTGATCTCCTTTAAAGGTACCGCCTCTACCCACTTAGTGAAATAATCAGTTGCAACTATAACAAAAGTATGTTGCTTGGACGATGGGGGATAAATTTTCCCTATCAGATCTATCGCCTAACCCTTAAACGGCCAAGGTTTAATAATAGGTGCCATCTTTCGGGCTGTCGCCCTTTGTATTGGACCATACTTTTAGCATGCTAAACAACTCTTTGCATACTGAACGCATAATTATCCCATCTTTGGCAAAAAATATCCACTCCTAATAATTAACCATCTCATCCTTTGGTCAGCTTGATGAGCTCCACATATCCCTTCGTGCACTTCAACCATGATCGTCTTGGCTTCTTGCAAACTTACACATTTTAGCAATATACCATCAGAGCGTTTCTTAAACAACTCTTCATCTATTAGTGTATAGTTTAGCAAACGCAGCTTCATTTTTCTACTATTTCCTTTATTAGGTTTTTTAAGGAACCTTTTAATCTCTGTCCTCCAATCCATTGCATCTCCATCTTGTATGCAATGAAGTTCAATCCTTCTCGCCCTTCTTTGGGTCACGGGCAATATAGTTCCATACTCACAAGTAGACTTCCAATTCAAAACCTTTGAGTACCCTGAGGCCATCTAGGCCAACTCATTTGCCACGTCATTATATATCCTATTAACGCATTGAAGTTCTATTTGGTCGAATTCTTCTAACAACTATTGGGCGATTTCATATTGATTCATGATGGAATCACTTTGGCATTTAATATCACCAATCAATTGGTGAATTACCAATTGAGAATCGCCTCTAATGATTACATTCTTTACCCACATATCTATCATTAGTTCTAAGCCCACGATTAAGGCTTTATATTCAGCCTGATTGTTGGTGCACATCCTATCCAAAGTGAATGCAAACTTGTAGCAAATCCCTAAAAGATTTATCAATGCTGCTACTCCTCCTCCTACACCTTTAGAGGTTTTCGACCCATCGAAATACAACACCCAAGATTTTAGTTCGAACGAATTGATTTCTAATTCAATTTCTTCAGGCATGTCAAGGCATTGATGATCGGCTAGAAAATTAGCCAAAGCCTGATTTTGACTGCCTTTTGGGGTATGTATTGTATTTCGAATTTTGATAAAGCTAACGTTCAAAGGCCTACCCTTTGGTGTAAAATAGGGCGAGAGAACATATACTTAACCAAATTTACTCTAGAAATCAAATAAATGGTTACGGACCGTAAATAAGCCCTTAATTTTGTACATGTGAAATACAATGCAAGACATAATTTTTCGATAGTAGAGTAATTACATTCACATTTTGTTAACCGTCTACTCAAGTAGTAAATCGCCATCTCTTCACCAAATTGGTCTTCTTGCCCGACTATTTCAGCTATTGATTCTTTTTCAGCCGATACATGTACTTTCATTGGCCGTCCTTGGATTGGTGACACCAACACTGGTGGACTTGATAAATATGTTTTCAGGCTTTCAAAAGTCTTTTAATATTCTTCTTTCTAGATGAATTCGTCCTGATTTTTCCACTTTAAAAGTGGCGAAAAGATTTTAGTTCGCTCTGCACAGTTAGAAATAAATCGTCTTAAAAAGTTTACTTGGCCTAGAAACCTTTGCAATTCTTTTTTGTTACTAGGTGGTTTGGCCTCTAAAATGGCTTTCGCTTTATTTTTATCAAGTTCAATTCCTCTTTTGTGTACCAAGAAACCAAAAAAGTTCCCTACATTAACACCAAATGCACATTTCAAGGGATTCAACTTTAGCTTATATTGCTTCATTCGCTCAAATGAACATCTTAACTGTTCGAAATGGTCCTCTTCTTTAATGGATTTGACCACTATATCATCTATATACACTTCAACAAACTTGCCTATCATATCATGAAAAATTAAATTCATTGCCCTTTGATAAGTTGCTTCTGCATTTTTCAGGCCAAAAGGCATGACTACCCATTCAAAACATCCTAGAGACCCAGGGCATCTAAAGGCAATTTTGTGTATGTCTTCCTCAGCTATATAAATTTGATTGTATCCTGAATACCCATCCATGAAGGAATACATGACGTGTCCGACAGTTGAGTTTACTAAAGAATCTATCGTGGGCATTGGATATTCATCTTTGGGTGTGGCTATATTTAAATTCTTAAAGTTTATGCACACCCTTAGTTTACCATTCTTTTTTAGTACTGGCACGATATTGGACAACCATTCGACATACCTGGCTGTTCTAATAAAGTCTGCTTTTAATAATCGCTCTATCTCTTTCATAATCTCAGGGAGTACATTAGGAGCAAAACGTCTGGGAGGTTGCCTATGAGGTTTAAAATTAGGCTTAGTTGGTAATCTATGTTCCACCAAGTCTCTATCTAAACCAGACATCTGTTCATATTCCCAAGCAAAATAATTTTTATACTCCTTTAACAAAGCGATTAATTTATCACTAACCTCTTGATTGAGCATCTGACTGATGAATGTTGGACGATCTTCTCCTTTATTGCGAATATTCACTTTAATCAGAGGGTCTTGTGCTTGAGCGTATCCAGGCTTGATGATCCGCATTACTTCATCGTCCAGTTCCCTTGTAGGCACTTCTTCTTCTAAACAATCCACCTTGTTGACTTCTCGGCCAATACTTTGTTCCAATTCGAATATTGCTAATTTGTCTTTCAACGCTTTCAGGGCTGCCTCTTCTTTCGTCTTGTCCTTGCATTCTTTATTAAAAGCCATTAATTTGACTTTGAAGGCCTGAATATCGGTTATTTGCTTTTGTTGCTTAGAACTCATTCAAGACTCTTTGATTATTCTTTTGCCAATTACTAACTCTCCTAGGATCACTATATTTGGCCTCATCTGACTGAACATTTCAGTAAGTGCGTCCACTGAAAATGGCTCTTCACTCTGCACGACAATCTGAGTTTCTTCCCCATCTTGGACTACCCTGACAGGTCTATAGTTTCCTTCGTACATGAACCTTTCCACTGAGTTGCTTCTGCGACAAAAGGCCTATGATCGGCCTGCACCACCTCTGCTTCACCCTTATTATTCCAAAAAATTAGGCATTGATGGAGCGATGAGGATATACAGCTACTTCCGTGTATCCAATCTCTTCCTAGTAACACATTGTAACTAGTAGGACCATCTATTACAAAGAAAACTGTGGTCCTAGTAGTTGTCCCTATAGTTATGTCCAATGGCATAACTCCCTTAGCTGCAGTTGCTCCTCCATTGAAACTTGTAAGGATGACTTCTGTTGGAATCATATCCCCTTCTGTCTTTGCAAATTTCCTCATCATCCTAGATGGAATGGTATTTATAGCTGCTCCATTATCGATAAGCACTTTTGTCACAGGTATGCCATTAACTAGAGCTTTAACGTACAATGGCCTCAAGTGTTCAGTCAATTGCATGGTTGGCCGCTTAAAAATAACTTTTTCGACAGCCTCTATTTCTACTTCCTGCTTGTCCTCTGTCGAGTTATCCTTTTGTGATAAGTCAACGTGCAGCATATCGCANTCGAAAGAACGCTCAGATGGTTCTCCCAATAAGTCTACTTCACGAACTCCCTCTCGATGTAGTTGCTTCAACAGAGTATTGTACGATATTCCTCTTCTTCTTCTTTCTGCTTCCAGATCGATTTCCTCTTCAATGTCTGTCATATCATCATCTTCCTCACCATTATAGGCCTCTCTAGAAGTCTGGCTTTCTTCATATTCCAACACGCATGCTTCTCCTTCGTTATTTTCTCTTTCTTCTTCTTCTTTCTCTTTATTCTTGAATTAATTGGCTAGTAAATAGTTATTAGCCACGACAGGAGGTAACGTACCGAACTGAATAGTAAGGGGTTGATCTGGATCTTCTCCATCCCTTCTGCTCGCTCAAACTTCGATCTCCTAAAAGAAGTTTCTGGCAACTCTTTCATTGATTCATCTGTACCAGTCTCTTCACTGTCTTTGAGAATATTTTGATTGACTACCTCGAGTAGTTTAGGCGCCTTAGGACGTGACACTCCC